CCCGGGTTAACAGAATTCCTTACTCGGATTTTTGGTTCGCGGACTGTTAACAGAGCCATATTTTTCCTCGGTTCGGGATTCAATCGGTGACTTGGGACACCACTAATCTCTCAAGTGGCGACTCTGAATATTAATAATTAAATCTCGTTCCGATTGTCCTTTAATTGGAAAAACTCCTTTACGCCCTTACGGGTGTAGGTGTGAAAAAGGAGGTGTGACACTAACAACATCAATTGAGGAGCAATCCCCCTCCCAAGCATCTAAGGTATGGTTTATAACTTTTCCTTTGTCAAATTTCGAATTGGGTGAAGGAATGAAATCCAACAACTTTTGGATATGTCTTCATAGTAACAATGTGCATATTTTGTCCTAAACCTATATGAATGATATTGTTATTGTTTACAAGGGTGATAGCAATAAAATTCCAAACATTTGGTAGGGTAAGGTAATCCTTCATCCACACAAGCACTTTCATAGCATAGGTGCACAACAAGTGTTTGTCAAAATGCCTCAAAGGCATTCCTTGTCCCCATTGGAGCCTGAGTCTCCAGGATTGTTAAACTAGTGCTATGTTTTCATGAACCCCTTGAAATCTAAGTGTGGGGTGGCTCACCGGAGCCGAGATGGGTAGCTATATGCATCAAAATTGTAGTAGACATCTTTGTGGCATTGATTGCTTCTCATACTAAAATAAAGAGGTGAAGTCTGAGTAATCTCAAAATTGTTGAACATCATGTGATGAACTCTTAAGTGTGGGGTCGTAAAACCATGTTTTGAATTGATTCAATGCCTCTAAGGCTGGATAGTGTCTACTTGTGTAGGTACAAATATGGTACATTCGATGGATAAAGGTAAAGGAAAGGGCAAGGCCACTTCTCCTACCAAAGGCAAGACTTCCTCCACACCTCCACCGAAAAAGAGGAAAGGAGGGGAAGTCTCTTCAAGTCAAGTTGAGGGTTTGCACACAATTACAGCTATGGCAGCCTCACGCCTATAACTTGCGGGACAACGAGAGCATGGAATTAAGAGTATACCCTCCTCTACCAAGGACCGGTACAAGATTTTTCGGCCGAGACATATACACTTTGAGTCGACTGTTCATGAGCGCTGTCTAATTCAAACAATTTGGAAGGATATTCATGATCTTGGGATAGGCTACATGTTTGTAAACACTAGGGATATCAATGTAAACCTTGTGCGTGAGTTTTATGCCTGATGATCCTGAGCAGTATGTGCCTATTCGAGGGCAGTTGATTGATTTTCTGCATCAGCTATATGCTATTACTTGGGAGCTCCGGATATTCCCCATGAGCCCCTGGGTAACTTCATTGCCCGCCCAACATATAAGGTACTAAGACACACTCTCTATGTTGTTAATTCTGTGGGTGTTTGGGTCCGTGACAAGAAGACCCAACGTCATAGAAAATTTCCAAAGAGGAAAATGAAGCCAAAAGCTCAAGTCTAGTTGAAATTGATCAACACGTGGCTACTACCATGCAACCATAAGACTATGATCAACCGTGAAAGGGTCTACCTGATGTACTTCCTAATGATTCACCAGAAGGTGAATGTGGGCCCGTCAATACTCTTTCAGATGGAGCAAGTGAGAACAAGCAAGAGAGTTGATAGATTGTCCTTCGGTAACATGTTAACTCAGCACCTGAGAAAAAAGGAGGTAGAGGAGGAGCGAGATTTTGTTGTAGTCATTCCAGCACCTCTCCGTCTGACGGGCATCACCAACATCCGGGCGAAGGAGGAGTGTGATATGTCCTTACTGATAGGTGTCGAGCGTAATGCTCGAGATGACAGCTTTATGGCCCATTTATAAGGGATGATAGACTTGTAACTTAGGATTGGAGGGAGGTTGGCCACTACAGAGGAGAGGGTCAACTTGAATAAGTGTTTTCCGCTCGGTGCTCATGCCCAACATCTGGTTGGGCTTGGTGAGGTCCAGAGACTCCTAGAGGATGAGGATGTCAATATGCTAGAGTGTTTCGAGGCCGAGCCAGAGCAGTCCGAGGAGGAGGCTAAGGATGATACTGATGAGGGAGCCGAGGATGAAGAGTGGACAGCTGCAGATGGGACCTTCGATGATGAGGGCGATGATGATGATTGATCAAGGAGTTTTTTCTACCACCTTACTTGTTTTTATTGCTTTATATATGCACTGAGGACACTACATGAATTAAGTGAGGGGTGGGGAATTCGAAATCCCTACTACACACCTCTATTTCACGGGAAATATTTTACACACTCAACCTTTCAAAAGTGTGTCTAAGACACACCACTTTTTTGCTTGACCAATTTTTCAGATAACATGAAAGTCACGCCCTAACAGGATTGTGACACATGTCATTGACTTTAAAAAGAAAAAAATATTAGAAATTAAAATTAAAATCCATCTTCTTCATCTTTCCGTTTTCTATCTTAAACACCATTGTTGCTACCATCATGGTTGTTTGTGAGAAAATTTCCAACAACAACAAAATTCAACCACACTATCTAAACAACTAGCCAAAAATAATCGAGCAACAAATTGAGTTCAACAACAACAACCCAGTATAATCCCACTTAGTGGGGTCTGGAGAGGGTAGTGTGTACGCAAACCTTACCCCTACCCTAGGGTAGAGAGGTTGTTTCCAAATAACCCCCAACATGCTTCCCTCCAAGAACTTCCTAGCTTGCTCTTAGGGAGACTCGAACTCACAATCACTTGGTTGGAAGTGGAGGTTGCTTACCATCAGAGCAACCCCTCTTGTTAATAACCTAATAATCAACAAGACCCAATTGAATTTTCAAGCTTTTTTCGATACCTCAACAATGGTGGATTCTAAATTTTTTTTACCAAACCTTCAATACTATTGTTAAAGTTTTTAAATCTATCACAAATAAATATTTTTCACAATATTTGGACAATAAACCAACAAAATCCGCTCAATTTTAGATCTAAAATAGATATGTTCTTTCAAAAATTCTATTTGGGGAAGAAAATGGGGGGGGGGGGAGGAAGAAG